CTGTCTGTGCTTACATTGGTTCTCTGCTGGCTTTCCCCGGACTGCGACTGGCTCAGACTCATCTTGATGCTGTCCAGATGAACTCAGACCGCCCACTCATCCAGTAGGACCCAATACATTTACACTGCAAAAAGCAATGTACTCCTTGCCTTATTAAAAGAAAACATTACATTAGCAGTACTTAGCTCTCTCAGTGGTGCCCCTAATCTTTCCTGCAGGATTCTGCTGCACATGAGTTTCCTGTCTCCAGTCATTGTGTTGGTTTTGTGGGTGAAACCCATTGCAAGAGACTTCCTGGCCAACGCACCCATTGGAAAGACCTCCATCACAATGTGAGTGCATGTACATATTTGCTCATTTTATCCGCAACAAGAAACCTCAACTCTTTAAAAAAAAAAAAACCTGGCTTTTGCTGACTTTTGCTGAAATTTTAATCTCTTGCAGAGTGCCCAGTGCAGTATTTGACAGCATGCGTCTGTGGATCATCGTGGTGCTGTGTGTTCTGCGCCTAGCACTGACTCGTTACCACCTGCAGGCCTACCTCAACCTGGCTCAGAAGTGGGTGGAGCAGATGAAGAAGGAAGCAGGACGCATCGCTGCCATTGACATTCAGAGGAAGGTCAGATACAATATTTATGTTTATATAGTATATGAATCATGGACGACTAAAGTGAGAATCTTGAATATTTGAACATAGAAAAACAAAAACTCTATAACTTCTTGTGAAGTATAAAGGCAATGTGCTGTTTTTCAGGTTACACGTGTGTTCTGCTATCTGACTGTGGTCACTCTCCAGTACCTTGTTCCTGTTTTTCTCATCCTCTTCTCGACACTGTCACTGAAGGCTCTAGGTAAGTAAAATACCCACACCACTGCATCAAGGGAAGAATCCACACTTGATCTTCTCCTCTTTGTTAAATATGAAGCTAGGTGCTGGCTAGCTTAGCTTAGCATTAAGTGTACTGCTTCAGGCCAAAAAGAGTCCAGCACATTAGCCCCCTGCAATTACACCAGTTTGAGTACAAACAATAACTAGTATAAACAAACAAGGTATAACATGTTAATTGGTGAACTTTAGAAGTGGTGGTAGGTGGATTTCCCAAGATGTGGAACTATTCCTGTAGTGTCACATTAAATATTTGCAGCTACAGTGGACTTAAATATTAGGAACTTTCCACAGTCAATGTCAAGTTTTAGTGTCGGTTTAATATAACAAGTAAAGGTTTCTTTCAATGGCCTGCTTTCTTTCTTTTTCCTCCAAGTTCTCTGGTGAAATCTGAATATTAACTGATCTCTGCTGAAATTACAGGGGACTTCTCTTGGGCAGTGGGTGCAGAAGAGACCCCCGGGGTGACACCGGCGCTGGTGATGCCCACAGCAGCGCCTGTGCTGCCCAGTGGTCTCGATGACGATGAAGAGGGGGTGGAGGACATGGAGGAAGACATCCAGGCCACAGTAGCTCACCTGTCAGCGACCTTCACAGCGCTGCGGTCCGTCCTCACTCCGCTGTTTTTCCGAGGCTTCTTCGCTTTCCTCACCTGGTGGGTGGCTGCCTGCCAGGTCATCAGCTCTCTGTTTGGCATCTACTTCCACCAGTACCTTATGCAGAACTAACTGAGGAAAGCAGACTGCCACGCTGCTCTACCTGCAATGCAACTCTCCAGCCCACAGCTATTGTTACACTGTTGCGAAGGATTGCAGAGGGAGAAGGGGGTGGGGGCATTTCATTATAAAACAGAACTACAAACAGAATGCACCATGCTTTGGGTTGTAACAGAAGAATTGATCAAGGTTTTTTGAGAGTACTGTCTGTAACATCGGCACCCTTGTTACCGTTACAACTTTTTATGACCAGCAGGCTACTGGTATCAGATCAGAGAGAATTGGAGCCTGTATCGCAAAGCAAGTTAAACTTAGTCTGGCTATCTTTGGGTTACCTGGCTTCACTAACAGTAGCACTCCTTGAAAACCAGTATCTCAAAGCTGGTTATCACTCTGGGTTGACTGATCCAGTTCTGAGCACGTTTATGCAACTTAACATGCAACATCAAAAGAACCATTAGTGGAGTTCTTAATATAACAAAGTGATTCCTGTGAATGAAAACGACCTGAAATGATGACTCAGTTTTCCCAGTGAGCTGACTGGTCAGGTTAGCCATGCAGCATAGGTTACATGAGTTAAGGCCAAAGACGGCTCATCTTGCTTTGTGATCCAGGCCCCTGATCATCTTCCAGCTACTTCAGCAGAACATTTTTCTGCAACTTGTATCTATGCCAGTGTTACCCGAACCTTTCTTACTAGAACATTGTTAGATGCTGCATATAAGATATTTAATGGTACCAAGTTGAGTATTACTATCTGTTTCAATGTAGATAAGACGCTTTATTTTTGTGAGGGACTCTTTGTACCTCTTAATGAACCGATTCAAGAGTGCTAAATGGTTTTGATTTTTTTTGTTGTCTTTTTCTGCTTTAATGTTTTGACCGCAAAGAAGTAGTAAAGCTCAGATCCAGCCTATTGAATTTAACGCAGCTGAACATGAATCAGTCCAAACTGTAGCTGAGGCTGTGTATTAGCCAAGAACTGAAACGTGTTTGCTTTGACATAAAGAGTTTCTTTCAGAATTCCTAAGTGCCTGGGAGCTCAGGGATTTTGAGTCAGTTTTAAAATCTCCTTCCTCCCTGTTCATGCGTATTTAGAATGAATAAAATCTGTTTATAGATACAATTAACACTCCAAACTCATTTCTGTGTTTCCTATGATTTTCAAACACTATTCACTGGCAACATTTTTGTTGCAGTGTCTTCGCTACATGTATTTTTTGCTGTCTTTATTGCCAATCAGTCATGTGCATGTAGGATTAATCAAAGTCTACTTTAAATTCATTTTGCATAAGTGCATTTTATTTATTTATTTATGATACATTGCCTCACATAACTTGTGTTGTTTAGAAATGATACAGATGCTGTCATTCTGTACATTTTTTTTTAATTCTGTTTGTGGCAAGAGTTGATTTTGTGTTTTTTGTTTTTTTTTAATAGATAGATTTGAATTGAATGTTGTAAAATCATTATACTGTGAAGTTCATATGAAAATGTTGCTTTTTGAGATTTTCTGAATGCATGGTGTGCAAACTTCTGGCTGTAACCTGATCGTTTTGTTTGGCTTAATAAAAAAATTATTTTCATGTCATTTTAATGTTCTCATTTTATTTGCCTTCCACCGAGGAGCGTGGGAGATATCGCAGATAAAACTTTTCCTTTCAAAAAAAATCAGTGCATCAATTGACAAAAGACATCATGCATGACAATGGAGTGTCTCGCCGCTGTGCTGGGTCTTGATCTCTGACCCCAACCTCCTGAGAAGATCATTCTTTAATCACTGTTAATTACTATGAACCTGATGCCCCTGAGGAGTCTGGGAAGAAACAAGTTCCTACAGCCAAGACGCTCAACTTGGCTGAAGTTTTGTTTTCTGGACATTATCCAATTTCTGGATATTATTTCATACAAATTACAGCCAAATGCTTTCCACTTGTCAGCATAGTCAGAAATCATCCAAACCAGATTTATAAGCTTTATGACATAATCAAAACATTCAGATTTTCATTCCAGTCTTTTAACAACAGTTAAAGAACGTGACCTTTCTCCAGAGCGAGACTGGAGAGGCTCTTTTGTCTGAAAGCTGACGTGATTTATTGGTGATATCATTCAACTTTCACATCCAATCAAAAGTCACAAAAGGTCTCTCCAACTCAGGGAGGGGCAGCCACCTCTCTGTCTTTTGACGTGCACTGGGACATGCTTCATTGGAGGATATCAGCATTCACAAAGACACAGGGAGAGAAGTGGAGAAATTTGGGAGGGCACCAGTTAACAACCCTTACACCCCATATACATAATGGTTCTCTGAAGTTTAGGATTGGGATGTTGCGTTTTTGTAGCACTACTGTGCTGCTTTTTTCACACTGTTTAAGGATCATTAGAATAAGTGATGAATTTAGTTATGCCCCTCGCTTGTAAGTGACTTTGGTTAAAAGCGTCTGCTGAGTAAATGGAAACTTTAGACAAGGGGAATGAATTAAAGAAGATTTCTGTGGAAAATATTTGTCTTATTGTTAGATAACATGATTGAGGAGCACAATTTCGGTCTTGTACATTACACATTTCTCTCATCAGAGGCCTGAGAGAGCGTCGGGCCTAATGAACTGAAAGGTGACAGGGTTGACATATCTATATAATCACATTAATTATGTGCATCTGCGCTGGAGGCCTCAGGCCCTCTCAGATCTGCTCTGTGGACTGCAGCGGGCCAAGTCAGGCAGCCATGGCTGGCTGTGGTTGCTATGGAAACATCCGTGTGTGTGTGTGTGTGTGTATGTGTGTGTGTGCATGTGTGTGTGTGCGTGTGTGTGTGCAGGACCCAGACATGCCCTACAGACTGGGCCTGGCCTTGTCTCAGGGGAACAGACCAGACATGACCCCAGTGAGAGTCTCTTTTCATTTAGGGAGGAGAGACGACAGAGATGGACCGGGGCTCGACTCTGCTTTTAGTTAAAATGGAAAGGAAGGCAACTGCTCCATAGGGGTAGCGTAAGAAAATGTTCAGGCATAGTTATTGTGAGACAGCCAGCTGTGGAAATGAGCCTTTTTACGCTGAATGTATTTTTTGAAGACATAAAGGTCTCCAGGCTTTTAAGTAGTCCATTCTTGTTCCTCTCGTTTGGTGGCTGCGTGGTGAGCTGCCTGACAGGGGCCAGACATGATAATGAGGGAGTGTGTGTGTGTTGAAAAGATGGAACGGAGGTGAATAAGACTAAATAAATGGGCACATGAAAGCTTGATAGCTACACACCGGACACCATTTTATCTGTCTTTGGACTGAATGTACATGAAAAGAGAGAATCACATTTTTCTCTCAAAAGAAAGATAATAAACTAAATGTCCTTTGTAGAAAAAAAAAACAGGCCCAAGCAAACATACAAATCAAACCATTTTATTTAAAAGGAAACACAACAAATGTCAAATAAAAATCTGTCTCTGTTCTGTTAGTGAAGCATTCAGCAAACATATAAAAACTAAATCCAAAACATCAGAATACTGATAACTTGGTTTTTCATGCTGATATTAATCCACATAACTGCATTTTTTTTTTAAAAAAGGAAAAAAAGAGCTAATTCCACAGCAGCACTTGAACTTGAAGCCCTCCACCGACCGGCTCACTGAATCTCTGCAGAGTTTGTCTTCATCTATTTGTTAAATGTCTTCAGGGTGAACCACTGAACCTGGGTCTTGTCATAGAGATTCATCTCATGATTAATCACTAATAGTTAAGGCTGGTCCTCTCTGCTCTGCAACTTCTCATTCAAATCCAAATGTTGTAAAAGAAGATGACCCCTGGTGGACAAGAAGGGTAAATTCACCCCAACCCGAATTCTGAGTATATTTTATTTGCAGAACAAAAGTTGAATATGCTAAACTAAAACACACAGATGTCCATATATGTACCTATAGCCTATGCTGAAAACCAAATATCCCTCAATAAAAAAAGTTGTTTGTGGGATTTTTTTAATGAAATATTCTATAAATAATTAGACTCACTCATTACACAGTGTCTCATATATAAATATCAATATGCACTTACTAAATTAAGCCCTTCAAAAAAAGGAATTGATGCCATTTCTATATTATTTAAATCAAATTAGACCTGCTATAGAGAAATACATACATCTTTGGGTGTTGCAGTATTTGACTGCAATCCATAGGGACAATACTTAAACCATTTGGTCTTTATTTGAAGTAGATTGCCATAAATTTGGACTATGATTATTTGTAAGAATAAAATAATTAAAATTTAGCTTATCCACAATTAAAGTCTTACAAACAAACATGGAAAGAGATACTTTTTTTTTAACTTTCTAAGGAAACAATCATCTAAATTCCTGAGATCCACTGATGCCCAGATTTTTAAAGAATAGGTTCACTTTTTTTCAAGTCTATGCATACATGTCCATATGTGCATTGAAACAGGTTTTGGTATCTGTCATTGATCCTCTCTTAATATGACTCCAGAGATAGAGGGGGAAAATCTTGGCTTTGTATGAAAATTCATTCTAGACAGTATTTTTAGCACAAAACTCTAAAAATAGCTTAAAAGCTTAGCTTTAACTCTTAAAATAGAATTGCATTATGAAGGGGTCTTTTTTACAGCCAGTATGGAAATCAGGACCAATTACAGTGACCACAAACACTTTCAGTGCACATATGGGCATGTCAGTATTGTTTTAAAACAAACTTTTAAAAAAAATGCACCTCACCTTTAAGATGTCCTAATGTCCAGGCACATTTCACTATTTCAAACAACAGGGACACAAGCTGTAAATGTTTAATGTACATAGAGGCTAAGAGTCATTTTCCATTCCCACCTGCTTTTCACTGTAACATCTATACAAAGACAGTGGAGTGTAATTTTACAGCTATTTTCCAATTTTCACACCAAACCTAGGTTAAACACTGAAGGCCGCTTTGAAAGCCAAATATGTTCGTAGACGCATTTTACACTTTTGGAGAAATTCAGTTGGTCCCACTGTGCTGCTGTAGCTAACTTCAACAAAGTCACAGATAAAAACAAACACATTTCAAATTGTATTTTTTTGATTCACATTATGTCCACACAGAAAACTAAACCTAACCAAACAAAAAGCAAATGTCTGTATGCATCTATCTCCTCATGGGGTCAATCAAGTGATGCAGAGAAAAATTCGCCCAGGAGAGACCAGCTCTGTATGAGAAGACAAAGAGAGGTATTCCTCTCTGGGATGATGGGGACAAATCAACCCTGTCTCTCTATCTTTTGTGTTATATTGGTGTGTGTGTGTGTGTGTGTGTGTGTGTGTGTGTGTGTGTGTGTGTGTGTGTGTGTGTGTGTGTGTGTGTGTGTGTGTAATATAGCACTGGTTTTGAAGGTGGATAGCTGATTGAATGACAGATGCTGGTAGATTGCAGCAGCCAGCTATCTCTGCCAGCCGTCACTCATGTCTAACTGCCTAAGTGGCTGCCCTCCTTCCTTTTCGTCTTGTGGGTAGCCAGTTTTGGGAAACTCCTTCGTCTCATTGGCCGGCCGGGTTTCTGGAGGGGTATGGCAAGCCGAATCAAGGTCGCTCATTGGAGAGTGCTGCCTGAGGTGGTGTATAGGAGGAGAGGTGGGCGAGGACATGTGCTCAGGAGAGCTACGCTCTGATTTGATGCTGAGGTTCAGGGAGGGCAGATGCGGAGAGGTTGAGGAGCAAGACTGAGAGGGGAAGGAGCACCCTCCGCTGGACATCCTGGAAACAACAAGAGGAAAGACAAAAGAAAATGAAGAAAAAGTTTGAACAAACATCAATTCTGCAAATATATTTGAAGTCCATCAGGGTGTAACTAGATCAGAATTTTATGCCGTTTAAATAAAAAAAACAGTTTGTAGACGGGCCATTTGGAATTCATTTGCCAGTTTCAACAAGGATATTTCTAATCTCTACATATAAACAACAATAAACAATATAAAGTAGTAGAGGCACCAAATGCAACCCAAGAACATACATGAATGTGTGATTTAATAATCAATGAATAACCTAAAATTACAGTGAAAGTATCACTTTAACACAACCGAACACACAGTTTTCCACACTATTATATTCTATTTTCTTTATATATTTTTAATTTTATTTATCATTTATATATTTATTTTTTATTTAGGGATTACTATTAATATTAATATTATGTAATCTTTAACAGCATTTATTTCTATTTTATTTTAATTTTATCAATTTTTTAAAACTCCATTTCTTGTTTTTATATGCTTTCTTTTTTTTCTTTCTCCATTTGTCTGTTTGAGTCTTTATCATATTCTTTACATTCAAACTCTTGACGCCTCATGTTGATAATTACTTGATTGTTTTCTGAATATACATATATCCTATGGTTGCCTCGGGCTGGTGGTTGCCATCATTTTGAGATATGCACTGTACATATAATGTTTTGTGCCTGACGACGATCTGATTGATCAAAATGTTGCACAGCAGCAGTGAATAAAACAACATTGTGGCAGCGAAGAACATTGTACAGATTCACCTGTCTGATCGATGATTCCATATTTCATCCACACCGTGGAACCATATCACACATTAATTTGCTTACCCTGGACTTATATGAGGCCCATGGGGTTCCTGAGGCGGCTGTGCTGCTTGCCAGGGGTTCACTGCTGCTCGTTGTAGACTAACAGAGTGATAAAAACCGGGCTGGCTGTACTCTGGAAAAAGAAAAGACAGGATATAAATCATAGTACTAAAGAATGAGACAAAAGATGTCCACCGGCGTCATCAAATGAGAGGATATATTAGCTTCACCTAAAAGGAATAGTGCAACATTTTCAGACATATTTTTGTTTTCTTGCTGAGAGCTGGATGAGAATCATTAACCACTGTCCACTACTGTAAGTATGAAACTACTGCCCGCAGCCAGTTAGCTTATTTAGCTTAGCATAATGACAGGCAAGAAATGGGGAAACAGCTAACCTGGCTAACTTGACACAACCTGTTAATTAGAGTGCTTTAGTGGTGCTTATAGGTGGATTTTGTTATCTTCAGCACACAGCCATGCTAGCTGTTTCCCCCTGTTTCTTCATGCTAAGCTAAGCTAACTGGCAGCTTGTTAGTGGACTCAATCAAAGAAAGCAAATAAGCCTTTTTCTGAATATGCCAGGCTGCTCCTTTAAAGGATCATCTCATCTGCAAACGTACCAGAGGCTCCAGGGGAGGGAAGGCCGTAGCCTCCCAGACTGTGGCCCAACAGCCCCGCCTTGCCCATGGCTACCATGGAGCTGCTGCTGTGCAGACCCTGGTACAAGAGACCCCTCTGATGGACAGGCAAAGAGAAAACAGTCAAACTCAAAATCTTTTTTGTAGCAAAGTTTGTGGCAATACAGAGACATCGCTGTTAACATACTATATAAAACTTGTGAAAGGTGTGAGTGTGTTAAAAAAAAAAACTGTGAAACTGCTTTTTCAAGTTTGCAAAACAATTTGCATGTATTGGTATTTCACTGCAGTTTTGAAAAAGAGCCCCATGCTAAAGAAGCAGTTCCATGTACAGTATGTGTTAAATTCAGTGACACCTATTTGATCACACTGGATAGTAAGAGCTATTTACAGCAGAGTTGTGGTTAGCACGTGTGGCACCCATGGCCTGATTAGCAGCATCTCCTCGCAGGTTCTCACTGCCCAGGTTCAGAGGAGGAGGGCTTTTCATGTCCAGAGTGCGATTCAGGTTGCCGTGGGAGAACACGGAGTAGCCAATACCTACACAGTGAAAGACAGGAGCAGGAAGTGAAAAGAGATGTGAGTTTGTTTCACTCACAGAAGAATAATTTATTTTTCAGACACATTCTTCACCTCCCTCTGTTTGTAAGTGTGATAGAAATTAACTTCTTCTTTTGGTTTGACCACTGAGTCAGTACTTGATCTTTATGAAAGAATGTGCAGCCATCATGTACAAGTTATTGTAATAAAGCATGATGTACTGCTGACCTGACCTTTTTGGGACTGACCAAAAATCTGTGTCTTTTATTTGGATAAAAGAATTAATACTTTTAAAAACACCACAACTGTCAATGACATCATAGAGTGTCCAAATAGTGAAAGACTGTAGAAGAGGCCGACATGACTGGCAGGTGTGATACATTCTGTACAGAAACCACAGAACTGGTTACAGCCGCTGTTACACTGGTGGAGGGCCAGTTTCACAAAACAGGCTGACTGCATGTGTGGATTAGAGCACACACACACACACACACACACACACACACACACACACACACACACACACACACACACACACACACACACACACACACACACACACACACTTCCTGTGAGTTCACAGCCAGCTGCACAAAAAGTTGACAGTAGATGTGAATTTAACAGCAAGCATTTAGTGGGAGTGTTTTTCCGAGAGTGTTTCATGGATTTTCATACCAATGCTTTGCATCTGTTTTAAGACAGAAAAATGTTCATTGCTCAGTATTTCAAACATATGGCAAAAAATTTTTAATATTCTGTGAAACATTACCAAAATAGTATTTTCCACTTAGCGGAGAGTGTGTTAACTTGACGTCAGTTATTCTTTTTTTTTTGTGGTAAGAGTCACATTTTTTCAAATTGTGTAAATTCATTTTGTGATGACACAGAGTCACTGAGAGGTTAATTACTGGTGTTATAAAACTACATTAAACACAACAAAGAAACTATTTGACTTGGTTCAGTGCAGTTTCTGGCCATGACATACTGTATTTATGTAGTAATATAATATCTCAATCGTCAACATGCATAAGGGCACTCCACTCCACTTCCCATTGGCCAATATCAAACAACATACAGCAGACTTCATAGAAAAAAATTGTAATTAATCGTAAATGATCTGAATCTGCCCCAAAATCTAATGGGTTCTTCCCTGGCCCATGACCCATCCTTCCACCAAGTTTGGAGCATATCAGTTCAGTTCTTTTTTCGTAATGCTGCTGACAAAAAAAACAGACGCGGGAGAAAACAACCTCCTTGGCAGAGGTAATAAAAAGATTCTGTTTCACGGGGCAAGTGAAGCTCACCTGAGTGTGGAGACATGAATGCAGTGTGTGCGTGTGGTGCAGCAGGGCTGGCAGAGCTGGGTCTGGAGCTAATAGATTTAAAGACCGGGGGTCTGTGGGATGACATGCTGGATCCAGAGGAGTTAGGGAAGCCGTTTTCACAGCCTGCAGACACCAGGAACTGGGTCTCTGGTGAGAGCAGTGATGGAGCCTGAAGTAAAATATACACACACAATAGCAGCATAAGAGTTCAAGTCTAACACTTGTCAACAACCCAGGAAAAATGTACATCTACAGGGTAAAATTATGTTTGGTATTTTTGAGTCAGAGTCACCATTACAACTTTGACAGTATCACAAGAAACTGCCGTTTTAATTCATTAAAACCTATTCAAATCCTTTTCTTCAGTTTTAGCTCAGGTCATCTTAGTGTTCTTTGGGGTTTGTGTGCTCATCTTTGTGTATATGTGGTGAAATTGTGTGCGTGTGTGGACTAACATAGAAGCGCTGGCGTGCCACAGAGAGATCCATGCCTTCGCTGAGAGGATATTTGTCTGCAGCCACCTGCATGGTCTCTTCACTGTCGAGCTCTGAGCCGTCAAGACCGAGGCCTTTCCTACGCAGGGTCTGATGCAGAACAGAAAGTGCACACGGAAAATTACCCACAGTGATAGCATCAAGATTTAGAAAACAAGAAAGAGGTATGAGGGTTTTATTTCAAAATATAACACTATAAATATCAATTTTTTTGTAAAAGTTGCCATCCAAAATTCATGTGTATAATTCACATAATTCCCTATGTTTTTAGAAAATGAATTACTGTTTCACTGTCATGTTCTCTAATAGCAGCTGAGACAGTACCTCCAGTATGTCTGTGTTGGTGCGACTCTCGTGTGGCTCGCTGTACTCTGTGTACTTGAGCAGCACTTTGTCCATGTCTGTGCTGGCGTACTGGAACAGACGGTTGGTGCTGTTGAAGATGATGAGGGCGATCTCACAGTCACACAGCACACTCAGCTCATACGCCTTCTTCATCAGACCAAACTTACGCTTGGTGAAGGTCACCTGTGGCACGAACAAGCACACAGAGGTTTGAGTCTTAATTCCAGACTATTACTGCTAAAGTCTGAAGCCTGAAGTAAACTATATATAAAAAGCTGAGATATGAAGATGCTTGAATATTGTTTTCCTCATTGCTGCTGCATGAAGGAATGATTTTCAATAAATCAAGTTGGAGCCAGAAATCCCAACTGATCATTTGCAAACACGAACAGCGTTGACCGTCAGGTATATTTATATAGCATGAAATCGACCCTGAAGACTTTACAATCTTTGCAGCAATAACAATATCTACCCTCAGACCCCAATTCAGATAAGAAAAACTCTAAGAATAAAAAAAACAAACCTTATCATCAAAAAAGATTAAGTCACGAACATCAGATATGAGAAACAAACAAGTATTTGCAAGCACTCTGAACATGGTTAAATAAGTTTTCTTGTTCTTCTACACTGATTCAGATTTTATTAAATTTACACCAGTGGGTGATTGTTTCACTTGTGCCCTTTCGGCAAAAGAAAACTCTAACTTTCAAAAAGTAAGTCTCACAGTCACCCAGTGTTGCATTTACACCCATCTGACTCCAACTTGGCCCTCAATATGCTAGTGAGAGAGTAAGGCATGCACGCCACAATTATTATAAAATGTAACTATGCAGTCACTCATTATTCCAGATATCAGGAAGGGAACACTTCCTCCACAAGCTTGCAGTATTAAGATAATTCCTACACACATTAGTCGCACAACGCAGAGGATACTCTGTCTTTACTCCCAAATCAGTTCAAACAAATTGTATTGTGTGTTATGTGCGTCCAACTCTTTGCTGGACGCTCAGCTATGACTGCAGCATCCGTGTACTCTCGCCTGCTTTCTATTGCATGTCCTGGACATTTGCATGAAACACACATATTCAGTTTACAGTGATACAGAGAGACAGCTGCAGCAAATCTATTGTCAAAATAGTTGCTGCAGCTCTAGTCACTTATTTAATGAGTTACCACTGTACAAATGTCAATTGTTGTATATCACATGTATGCAAAAGTGTTCTTGTTTGAATTGTTCAATGTAAATGAAATACTGCATGCACGCCCACCTGTCTATTCCTCTGGTCCAGAATACGAGAAATTTGTATTTTCTTTCTTCCCATTTTTTCTGCCGTCTGTGAGTCTGACACCTGTAACAGAAAACATAACAATGTTATAGTAGCAGAGTACAATACGTTTGTGTTGTTGACATTAATACGGCTGCAGTGACCAGCATTAAATAAATGTGATGTTAAGCACTAATATTTACAGCGATTCCTTCTCTAGTTCAATGAAAATAAAAAGCTTGGTGAAAAATATGTCATAAATGTTTGGTTAATTATTGTGTACAGAATCTGAACCTGTCATCAAAGTGAGAGTCTACGTTTCACAGTAACAATGGTAATGTTCAATAATACCTCTCTTCAAGTTCATGTAATTCTGGTGGGAAAATGTCATCCATTTGGTTTAAGTGACTCAAGACCCTTCCCCCTTGGTAAGGGTAGGGTGTTTATTTTTACCACCATGAGGCGATGCGGTCTAAAGTTAGAGCGGCCCTTGCCGGGCCAGCAGTCCACACTGTCTGACACCCCCACAGTCTGGGTTACCCCCGGGCCAGCAGCACAGTGTTCGGCTGCACCATGCAGCCCCAAGAGACAGGGTTAAAAATACAGTCGATAGCTCCTTTTAAAGGTTCAGCAGGCAATAGCTGAAACCAAACAGTAGAGAGAAAACGGTGTGTTTTTAAAAGATGGCTGATGCTAAAAGCCACCCACTCCTCTCTCATGAACAGCCAGGTCAGAAAAAAAGTAGGATTTGGAAGGGCAGAAGGCAAAGACATGGATGGATTGCGGTTAGCCTGAGAATGTCCATTACAGAAACTCACACCAAGTGTTTATCTGTTTTTCTTGGTCTAGAAAACCCCCGCTCCTGTCCCTGCCCCTGAAGGACCATATACAGCTGGACACTATAGCAATGAGGATTTTTTATTCACTCTTTGCATCATGGGAGACAGTCATAAAGCAACTCTGCTGCAAAACCATACAGCGCTAAATCAAGTCCGTATATTAACTTGCACTGTGTACGAGTTAGCTCCATTTTACACTCACTATCAGTCAAACAACTACCACTGGTCCGACTCCTCTGACCTGACCATACAGTACTTCTCCAAAGCCCAAAGGAGTTTTCACTGGTTTTTCCCCTTAATACTAGACATGTATTGGACTTGTCTATATTTAGTTCCCTGTCCCTCCTGATGGTGCCTGAGCGGATATGGCGTCCGTGTTCCCACGACCCCTAAAGTGCCCGCTGCCTCTCAATGTAAGCTTGGCACACAGGCATCTGGGGCATTTCTGGAGGAATCCACCTCTTTGCCCTCATTATTACCTTATAAAGTCCTGTGATATCCACTGCGCTGAATATGCTGCAGAGACAAGACACACTTCAACACCGACAGCTGCAGACAAACGCATCGTTGCCATTGCCTCTGCGGTAAAACAGCACACTGCAGACAAACAACTCTTGCTTATAAGTGAAGGTCCACACAAACCAGCATAATTCTGTCTACTGAATAACTCATCCACCACAAAGATCTGAAGTCACAGAAAGTCAAGCTGCTCTGTTTTTTTTTTTTTTTTGGACAAGAAGTGAGACAATTTAACCTCATATGAAGGCATGTTAATGGTGAGAAGAGAGGGAAGTGGGACATATGTTCTAAACAGGGCAGAAAGATCTTTATCTCAGAAAGTTCCTCTCCTCTCAGATATAACCAAACGACGACTATCACCACCACAGACAGCTCTGTTAGAACACATGACTAGCTAGATAAATATAGCTACACCTCCAGCCAAATGGTGTAGACTTAGCTATAGAACTCTATGTGGTTTAGTAGGTTTGTCGAAGGCCTAAAGGCCAAGACAGGCAGGAAAAGCTGCACTGTGCCCCACACATCAGCTAATTCTGGATGTTTTCCCACACAACAACTGCCATTTGAGGTCTGTGAATACTTCACAACTAGAACTATCCACTGCCTGTGACCTTTCATCTTTAGGCTCAACTCATGAACCTCTGAGGAAAGGTGAACATTAGAAGAGGAAACTGTTCTTTCTTTTAAACCTCTAAATGTCATCAACTAGTCCCAGAAGTCCTATGATGAGATATGAATGCAAAACAGAGTCACTGTGTGTACTGTAATAGTGCAATAATTGCACACACACACACACTTGCCCCTGAGTCTTGTAGCTTCTATGGGGAAAGACACCACCTTTGTCAGACACCTTCCCAGAGGCCAGACAGTGGAAAAAACTGAGTACAGACACATGGCAGGCGCCAGCAGCCCTGCTCTCTGACATACCCTGGGAGCTTCTGTCTAATCAGCAACAAACAATTTTAATAGGTTTGATCAGTTGTTGTGATGACATTCGTGAATATATTGCACTAGATGTTTTTCTCGCTGCAGTGAACTGTATGCATGAATGAGAAGGGAAAAAAGTAGGCCATTTGTTGAGTATTGGGGGTTCTGCTTCAATGGTTTTCTTTCCATGAGTCATTCAGAGCATGATGGCTTGTAAATGTTTCAAAAACACGGTAAACACGTGTATGCATATTAGCCGAACAAGCAAATGGCTTATTCTGTGGCGGCAAGGCAGATTCATAGAACAACTGATCACATTTTGTGCATCACACAGGTCCATATCTGCAGTGTTGGCTGTTAAACGGTCTAAACATAATGGCAAAATTAATCAAAGACTGTGTTATCAGTTTCCCCAAGTGGGGAAATATAAAGTACTTTATATAATTCTCTCTGATGCATGTCTCTGCACCACTGCCCCACTTCTGTGATATATTATTTTTTCATACTTTTCATTCAGTTATGGTTTGATTATACAATAAAAATCAATCACAAGAGAAACTGCACCTACTACGATTGCTGCATTACACTATATTGATCTCTACAGCTTTGTGTTCAAAGTGTTAGTCATTTCAGTTACATCTAAGTTGGGTAAATAGGGTCAAATGTGAAACCAGACCCAAAACTGTCTCTGAAAATAGAAAACTTTAACCACATTTGCATGAACCAATACATAAAACCTCTCAAACGCAAGTGAAAAAGGGTGACAGGCAGAAATGTCAAACCCATCCAAATCAAAACTGAAATGTGTATCACCAAGAGGAAACCCTTTGTGTAACTGTTCATTTCTTAATTATATTCATCACTCTTTTCAGCCCATTCACAGCTAGCATCTCAACTTAAACAATGTCACTTTTATGCTGACGGTTAAGGTTAAGGTTAAATGAGTGTGTGTGTGTGTGTGTGTGTGTGTGTGTGTGTGTGTGTGTGTGACACATCTTCAGGGTCAGACAGTTCATGTGCTCACTGGGCCTTTGCAGAGTAATGGTGAGGAAATATTTGTCTAATTTTAACAGGAGATAATTGAATTGCCTTGATATTTTTGATAGAGCCAGAATAGCAAGAGTACACGCAGGCATGAGCTGAACATCTGATCTTTCCATGAAGAAAAAAAATTTTTGATTCAACGGACTCTACAAAGCTGTGAAGATGAGACACACCTTTATGACAGCTGACGGAGGGAAACCTCTTTGAGTCTTTTGAAGGGAGGCTGCAAAAAGTCTCAACTCCTGCCAATGATCTCATGCGCTTAAAAACATCACTTTCATCAATGCACATTTTGAATGAGACTGAGCAGTCAAATGATTGGAAGGGAAACAGGTTGTCTATCTATCTATCTATCTATCTATCTATCTATCTATCTATCTATCTATCTATCTATCTATCTATCTATCTATCTGCTCATGTTTCTCTGATGCAATCAAACGCAGGGGGGGGGGGGTATAGTTATGCTACTACTTGTGACAAAGAATAAATGTGGAACAAACTGAGCTGAGATGCTTGTTGAAGTCGAGCAGCGAGCTATTCGGCGCTAAAAATAAAAACTGTAAAAATACATAGCTCAAAAAATGTTTGCGGATAATTAGGCCTAATAAATTGCTGACGTCATTCAAAATAGACTGTTTAAGAATAGCCTGTCTGTCCCCGAGTTGCCAAGCATCCCTGTCTAATATAGCCTCATCTATAGGCTGCTCTCAATAACACAGCAACAGGTAGGCTACTTTACTCACAGCTGTGCCGTGAATCCTGCCGCACAGGAAACCTCAGGAAACTTTGCTCATTTGCCTTAAAAACCGAGATATTAAAAAAGTAAACCCACATGCTTAAACAAAAAAACAAAACCATAGCATCTAACCTCACCTGTTCCTCGATCTCCTTTCCTCTGTTTACTTCTTGAGTTTCACCCACTCGATCAAGACCAGTCAAACGAGGAAAGTTGCTAATAAAAAAAAAAAAAAAGAAAAGGCACAGATGTGTTAACGATCGGAAGGAGCCTTGCCTTGTGCTCCGGTCCTGTGCTGATGTACAGATATTCACCTGATGCAGTAGTAGCGGATGGTTCAGGAGCGCTGCTTTCCAACAGCTGGCTGCTGCAGCCCGCCCCTCTCTCTCACTAACACCCCGCCTCCTCGGCCGTGCCATTGGACACACTCCTCCGCCTCCCGGCCGCCGTTCAAACGCACCAGTCACTCAAGGCTGTGAGGGAGTTTACAGCAGAAGTTACACTACCTACATTTCTTGTATTTTTGTTATTTTTGTGGCTACTAAAAAGACATTACAGCGCAGGCACCAAACTTTGAAGTAAGCTAGTTTTGATTTTGTGTAGGCTAATATTTCAATAGTGGAGGGGAGGGGGAGGTGACGGTGGGCAGTGGAAAGTGCAGTTTTGTGATGTGTGACATGTGAACAATTCACATGTTGCAAAACAAGAAGAAAAACAAAATTCAGCTTTCTCTTTGTAACTGGTGAAGGAAAAATACATAAAACAATATCTAAACCTTGATGGGGCATTACATTACAGTACACGTGTAAATGTGTAAAGAAAGTGGCTGATAATTGTGTTATTACAGCTGAAACTTCATTTGTTTCAATGGAGACCACCTACAGCTCAACTGATGGAACCCTGAAGGTTCCTGTAGTGTTGGAAACCGCCACTTCTCAGACTGGCTTCACTGTTGATTTCCGAAGGATGGTCTCAATAGGCCAACACACTTTTATTTCAATAAATCCTAAATTTTGACTGAGGATGGCGCTTCTGTGAGATCTTATTCTTCCGTAACTGATGTGTGTAAAGAAAGTGATGCCAGTGATGCCCGGCATTTTTTGCTTATGACCTTAGCTTGTCTACATGCGAGGCCTCATCACAGGCTTCCTGAGTTGAGAGAGTGGTTTCCCCTTTTAGGCCTGAAGAGGTAAAACTATGCAGAATTAAGAGGGGTGGTGGTGGTGGTGGGGGTGGGGGGTGGGGGGGTGGGGGGTAAAGGTTAAATAAAATGCAGAAACAACAAACAAATACAATATGTTCGGGGTTTTTTTTAATGTAATCCTATGAACCCTCAGATTAATGTCACAACCTCTGAGGGGTCCAGGCATCTACGATGGAAACCACTGCCCTAAACACATGTTCTGTGTTTAGTTACAGTGGTAGGGCATGATTTAATTGCATTTTGTAGTGATGTTAGTTTTTTTATTATTATTATTATTATTATTATTATTATTATCTCAAAATCCCATATTACTTCAGGGTTTAATAAAGCTGCACAACATTAAAAATGAAAAATTCAGGTTTCTGAGAAAAAAACCTCTGAGTTACTTTAGTTTTTGTGCACATCATGGGCTTTTAAATCAAAGGCCATATATAATCCTATCATTTAATTTAGCGCAAAATACCTGGGCATAAATACATAGTTAAATAAAAGCAGTGTTGTTGATATGACTGCACAGCCTGACAGCTGGTTGAAGAGCCCTTCCTTCAGCCATAAGGCAGAGACAGTTACCTCTCCACATCATGTCTGAATTCTGCTGCTGCTGTGGGTAAATCACACAAAATTCATCCCAGTTTAAACTGAAGTACTAATTGAAACTATAACTGGAATTTTGTCCTCAGCTACAGGCCTAATGGGTTGAACAAAAATAAAGGAATGCCTAACAATAGGTCATGGCGTGATACAGCAACAAGTTATATAAGTTACAGCCCCGAAAAATGAACATAGTTTGATCAGCAACTCTCTGATACGCTCTACAAACATTTAACATCAGCTTCACAAAGGATGTATTTGGGGCAAGGCTGTTGGATTGCATCTACACTGTACTTCTACTATAAAATGATGAATGGAGTGAGAGAGGAAAAGGAAAAAATGGTAAATAAAATTATCCCAAGCAAAGCTAAGACAGTGATGGAAAGCAGACATGCTGTCAGCTTAAAAGATATATTTAGAGGTAATAACTGAATGTGCTGCATTATTGACTATTTTTGGGATGTGACACAATGTAGGCTACTCCTAAAAATAATATAGTGACAATTTATTAGCGCAGATCATCTTTGGAAGTTCGGACAACAACTCTATTTCTCCCTCTCTCTCTGACACACACATACACGCACGCACACACACATACACACACTGACAAACATATCAACACACAGACACACACATATAATGCTACTTACACACGAACACGCACAGTTTGACATCCCAAGAGGAAACTCAAACTGTGCATCTGATGCAATAGTTAGTAACATCCCTACAGACTGCCAAAGCCTTTACCTCCAGGATTCATCTGCATTGGCCACATCACGCCAACAGAGAATAGTGCAAACTCCCAGCTGTAAATACAGGCAGCTAATCACCTGTAGCAAAGGGGAAATTCTGCCTTTCCTCAGTGTGGTGTTTATGCAAGTGTATTCTCATAAATGTATTCTTAACACTGTGAGAGGTCTGTCAATCAGGAGACTGACGACTGAATCACAACCTTGATTATTAAATGTCGTAAATAAACAACAGAAGGCAAAAGCCATGAAGTAGAAACTATAGAGATAACAGTGCCTTTGAGAACTTTCCGTATCAAGTCCATTTTTTTTTTCATTTTCCTGAAACTTCTCACTTCTGCTTTCGACAAGATCAGCCACGACCCTTTTAGAGCATGTGGTGAGGCTGTCGAATTCAGAAATAACCTCCATGGTCAGTGTACATGTGTGAGAGCAATTGTTCACATTGTGTACTTTTATAGCTGCATTCTTATCTACATCTCAACAGAACATGGGTTACACCTTTATCCCTTCCAACCCCCCCAACCTCTAACAGAACAATAAGGGCTCTGTATCATAAGTCACAGACCTTAAGTAAGTCAAGGTGTTTGTGGTCCAGCAGTCATAGCCCATATATGAACTGTACATATAGCGAACAGTTAATATAATCTATTAACTCAATACTGGAAAAATAACTTATCTTATTACACAGTTGTAATATACACATGAGGGTAAAGGTATAGGTGTTAGTTTAGGTGATTGTAAAATAAATCGATGCAGTAAAACAAAGTGCATCCCTAGTAAGCTGTGCATGTTTCCACGGCAACTAAAGTAAAGTTAATTCAAATCAGAGAATGTGAGGAGCTGCAGCCAGAATAAAAGGGTGTTCAACAATAATCAGGGGATAGCTAAGATGCTGCAAATTCTGCTGTAATTTACAACTGCCATGGTCTGAATTCTGCACTGGAACAATTTTAGACCTTTTGGACAAATAGTCACATTTGATTTTAGCTCCTATATGTTTTTATTATTATTATTATTATTATTATAAATATAATTATTATAATTATAATTATAATTATTATTTGTATTATTATTATTATTATTTTATTTTATGTAGTGCAGCTCAGGTCATCCTTACAGGATATGCACGAATCCTTAGGACATATTTTGGATAATGCAGGTTATTATACTATATATATATATATATATAATATATATATATATATATATAATAGCTACTGCTTTTAATTGGCTATATTGTTGCGTAACTCAAAAAAGCAACAAAAAAAAACCAATGCAATTAAATTCACGTTTTAATATAATGGTAGGAAATTTTTTAAGGTCCATTGTTCTGCCGCAGTGTTTTGTGTTTAGTCAGTGAGCTCTGCCTCTCGCAGGAGCACGTCAACGCATTGTTACTGAGGATCCAAGAGAAAAAGTCCATTGTTGTTGCGAACTTTTTAATCTGGGGATTTAAAGCACATCACATGCTCAGACGCAGCAGCGGGGCGCTCCACCATAACAGGCAAACTGCTGCAAAAATCCATGTTGGGGAGGAAACTATTCATCCTGGAAGGACAGAGGAAAACACTGAATACACACTGCAATGCTAGCGCACTTTTGGGGAGTTTAGGATCGCCGCCTGAGAGCTGTTTTTAAGGAGTCCGACCAGGATAGGAAAAGTTTTTATTCTCTGGAGAAACCTGACCGCTGGAGATTTGGGACAAAGATGACGCTCAAGTACAGCCAGCGGTCTCTAATTGTTCTGTCTTTACTGGGGATTTTATCCGCCATCATGTCTGTTTTATCGGTCATTTTGATTTTCCAGCTCCAGTCTCAACAGGCGTCGGTGAAGGAGTCTCCCCCTTCCACCTCCTCGGTCATACCCGCTCATGTCTGGGCCGTGTTGCTGCCGGTCTCCACGGTGCTCTCTGCTCTGTCCCTCACCCTCAATTTAAGCTCTGTGGTGGTGTGTCTCCTCCACAGCTATTTTTCAACAGAGGTGTGCAGAGGAGAGCAGGATACTGAGAGGTATTTAGGCAGCATGTTACCTTGCTCTTCTACCACCTGTTACTGCGGCAGCCATTGCAGCTGCTTCCCTCACTTGTATTATTCTGCTGTAGATCTAAACGGTACTAAAACATATAGTTCCGGTCAGTTCTGATAGGTTGGGTCACGTCTGAAGGCTTACACTCACCTGTGACCGCACTACACTTAATTACAATATTAATACGCACGGGAGATTCACTTCACTCAGGTAGGCGTTCCAAAAGAAGAAATAACACAGTTTCTCATTCATCAGCAAAAACACAAACAATGATAAAAAAAAGAGAAGACAATAAAGATAAAACGAAAACACACACACATACAAAAAACACTTTTGCTCAATTCAGTTCACTTTGGGGTTTTGCTACTTCATCCTTATTTGGGCTGGTATGACCAGTAGCCTACGGTGGCTAATGTTAGCAAACTTTGGATAGCGGTTGTTGTATAATGGGCATTAATTTCAGTCTGCTGACTTTAAGACTCTCCTTTACTTGTGCTACTGTTACACAACATTTTAGCATTTACCATTATATACACAAAAAGCTACATCATTTACATACTATTTAACTATCCTTTAGGTGCATTGAATATAAAATCCAATACAAAAGTGCTGCAATAAATACGACCATGGTGTCACTTTTTGGAACTATTTTTTTAAACTCAGCTTTATTTTTAAATTCTGTGTTATATTAGGTGATTTTATTTTTTATTTTTCTCCTTCATACATGTAATTGACATGAATATATATCTTTCAATATAAGGCAGAGCAAAACAACACTTCATCCTACAGGGGTTCTTATTTTCTGGTCACAGTCAGTGCACAAGACTGTTGCTTTAAGTGGAAATTGACATTTAATCTATTTAGTGTTTGTTTCTCCTTCTTTAAGTGTTCTCTGCAAACCACAACCTTATCCTGGATGATAAATTTAACTGTATTAAGTTTCATTATAAGAAAACATGGTTTCAGAAGCATAAAAGCCCTTATGTGTCAGAGTGCAGAGGCCCTCACTGCAATGTTGTTGGTCAACCCCCACCTCTCAACCCCAATGAATCCCATCGAAACAATGGCCTCCCTCTCATTATGCACCCAGCGCACGGCCTCTAGCTGGTCCTTTCCCACGTCGGTTTACAAATCCAACAGCATGCCCCAGGACCTCCCCACTGACAGAGGGGACATTCCAAGAAAATGTGAATAATAATGAGCTGCACAAAACATCTAGCATTTAAACTGACCAAAATAATCATCAATCAAATGTTTTAGGACCTACAGCTCAGATATATAAACTTATCAGGGAAGAAATAAAAAGGAAGTAGAGAAGTTTGATTGTATAACAAAGAAGGTGTAACAAAAGAAAACTGCCAAAACAGAAATGACAGAAATTGCATAAAATCATGGATTTATTTAAAAGCTAAAGTAGCAATGTTAAAGTGTAAACATATTCTGAGCCAAGACACTAAACATGTCATTTCTTTCAACAGAGCGGACTGGTTCCTTTTGGACAGCAGAGCTGTACGACATGTGGCTATTGGACTGTTCTGCCTGGGGGTTTCTGTCTACTTGGCAGGTAAGAAAATAAAAGTGAAAAATGTGATTCTCTTCTTTTTTTTAAGAGTCTGAATTCTCTGGAACATTTCACCCAATCTGGCATGAAGGTACATTTAAGAACTGAAACACGGGTTAGAGCTAGGCACCTGTTATTGCTTTCTAGCACACTTCTCTGTTTTCAATGTGTATGTGTACTAAGCTTTTATAATTTGCATGCTGGGTACTTTTCAGTCTAACAACAAACACAAAAAAACCCTGAAAACTAGTGTCCAAAACATGGGCACTGCAGTGGATTTTCAACAGCAGAGGCAAAAACAGCCCTGCTGCTTTCTTTCTGGTCCATCCAGCGAGTCCAAGAGAACAATGCATTCTTTGAGCAGCGTCCATGACTTAAGTGTTTTTAATGCTGAACCTGGCAGCGCTGTGGTGCTCTGTTCCACTGAGCGGCTTGTACTGTGGGGTCACTGGAGGCAGTCACTCCATTGTGATGAGGAGGTGTCGTCCTTATGACCCCACTTTAGCGGCAATCAAGAAGTAGCAGAGCAAGGGACTGTAGAAAACAACACCACCAGCTAAGGAAGTCGAGTCACATCCCAGAGCTGTGTTTTTCTCCCCCTTCCTTTAGCATGCCAGAGTCCATGGTCCTCTTCCTGCAGACAAACATAGACAACTCAGATGAGAACAATTGGCCTTTATATATAATTTCAACAAAATGAGACACATTTTTGTAATTCCTAACTTGTAAAAAGTGTCTGGTGAGAGCAGGAAGTAGGGATTTAAGTAGAAAATAACAACTTTCAGAATCTGCTTTGCACAGTTTAATGGCCCATTACAGATTAACATTGTTTGCTTAAAATAGAGGAAAGTATTTAGTATTTCTTCTGTGTGAGTAAATTCTGTTTTTCTCCTTCCTCTTTCTCTTACTTGGCAGCAATGTCCATCTTTATGCTCCTAATATTTGAGGTGGAGACAGGTATTGCCAGTGCTTGTGTCCTGTCTTCAGGGATCCTGATCCTGCTGGTTGTTGTAATTCACTCTCTGGTCAAAGCTTCTTATAGTGCTAAGCACTATCACAGTGACCACCTCGACACCCTCTACCAGAATGACCACCGAAGCAGCAACACGCCTTTATCTCGGCCCTGCGAGCTCAAAATTGGTGTGGACAAACCACGGATGCACCGCAGCCAGTCTCACCTCCAACATCAGATCTCCCCCTTCCCTCAATGTAGCAACCCGAGACAACGAGAACCATACCAGCAACCGCAGTACTCCCCTGCTGGAGGGTCACAGGGCCAGGCTAGTGATAAAGACGGCTACAGCAGCGGTGGCAGCTGTCCCAGAATGCACAGGACCCTGTCTACTGAATCTGGTCTACTGCAGGCCCAGGCTAAACCCTGGAATGGGGTCAACAACGAGATGAGGAGTGTCCTTGCACGCAAATCAGGGATCTCTGCAAAAGACTCTACTCTTGTGTGACATAAAGGAAGCTGAGCTTACGGTTTAAGACACTGAAGACTTCTATACACGTCAAAAGAGGACTGCTAACACAAGTGTCATCTCAAACAGGTGTAAAACTGTCCATTTGTATTATTCTACACTCAACATGTTTATCTTGACTGATTAGACAACATGGGACTGAGATTTAAAAACAAACCCAACTTTACACATTCATCAACTGATTTCTCCTGTTGGCATTATGGCATTTTTAGTTCAATGAAATATATATTGATATTTTGTATAATTTGTAGTGTTTTGTATCAATGAACTTGATTTAAATCTCATACACACCAATGTTGCCCAAATATCAATCTGGCAAATTTATAGCTTTCACTGTAATAATGTAAATACTTTATTTCGCTGTATATGGCAGCTTTTTGCCAAATATTTGTGCACAATGTGCAGAGTGTTTTGTTTTGTGTTGTTCAAAATTATTTCATATCAACTTTAAATTAATTCTAGAAAATATAATTCAATTTAAAAGTAGAATAATTTTGAACACTTAAATAAGACATTAAAACAATGTTTACAAAATAAATTGAAAGGTCATTTTACTGCACATTTCACTAATTTATAACTGGCTAACAAAACATTTTATGTCTTAATAGAGGCCTTAGAGTGTGGTTTTGTCATGTTGGGAGAAACTACTAACCTGGACACCTCTGTTCAGAGGTCATGAGGAAGTGGATGGGGCATGTGGAGCAGAGACAAGGGGACTAGGAGAATGGGTCACATCATGTAAGCTGCATGCAGGTGTCAGTGGGAAATAAAGAAACAACACAAAGAAACACAACAGAAAACATGACACTCCTATTCACTACAAAGAGTTCAGAACAGGATAAATATTTTGCAGGTACTGGGGGAATAAATTGCCAAAAAAAAAAACATATTAGCTGATGTGCAAAAATATTAATTGGTGCAAATTATAATAAATAATGGATAGAATAAAACAAACAGAAACAAATGTCATACATGAACAAAGGTATGATGTGGAGCAAAGAATGAATACAAACAGGATAAAAGTCGAGGCACTGAGCCACTGAAAATGTGAAAGTACAAGGACCCACAAGTGGATCTTTGACACTTTAGTCAGGGTGGGTGATATGCTCTATGATTATCTGGCTTTTTTAAATATTGACAGTAATTATGTCAATCACTATTGGTTTGGAAAGATAATTGCGCATGAAAACTAACTCCAAAGATGAGCTGATTTGGCAAAGTGAGAAAGGCTCTCATACTGACACTTTACTATACACACACAGGGATAAAGGCATTTTGTTTTTGTTTTTCAGAAATGTGTATTATTACATCATATATAATTGGGCCTTCAAATATGTCATACCTACAGGCACTGCATTTATATACAAGTTTCATAATCAAAAAAATGTAGATACATTAAAGTGTATATTTATAGGCTTATTCTTTCAGTTTTAAAGCTGTAAGCATGTGTCATACATGGAAGAGCTGAGTTAGCCGATAGCGGCACAGAACTAACTTTGCTGCTCAACAAATCAGTGTCCATTTAAATTTACACATTTTGTTGCTTTTTTAATCAGCAGCCGTATTTTCACATTTTTAAGGAAATAGGCGTGTCAGGTCCAACAAAGTCCAGTAAAGGACCAGAGAACAGTGATCCTTCTATCTTAACAGATGAATAATAACGCCTTTAACACAATAAATCAAAATCACTGATTAACTATGCTCTATGGCACCATATGCATATGTTAGTGTAATATCATTATAATTTTAAAACAATGTCATATTGCCCACCCCTACACGCTGGACACCACCATGTCTCAGTGAAGATGTTCACTGCTGCCGCCTACCTGCGTCCTTGAGAGCTGCTAATCTGTTCCTTCATGCTGATGGCTTGACGGAGCAGACTGTCAATATTTTTGAAATACATGCTGCTGTTCGTCATGCTCTTCACAGCACTGCAAAAACCAGCATACCAATGACAGTGTTAACAGTCATAGGATTGGGCCACTGTGATTTGGGAAAATATGTAGGTCTGTGCATTTTCTCACCTGCATGCATACTCCACAGTATAGATGGCTCCTTGACTCTGCTCCTCCCAGCTCTGCATATCTGTCTGTGTGGGAAGTGAGAAAAAACTCACTGATGAAGTGAATATTGTCGATTATCTCGTATCTCTCAGATACATGACATGGTGAGTGAACAGCTGGCTCTCATAGCCTGTTGGTCGTGGAAGAAATGGTATGGGGCTGTATAGCCACAGACCGCTCAGAGTACCAGTCATAATTTACTTATCAATATATATTTACATATATTTTGTGGGTTGTTATGCAAAAGTGAACACAAACAAACCTGCATTCTAAAGGTGAATGGTACCTAAATCATCAGCTATTACTTACAAAGTACCTCTTTAACTCACTGTACACACCAACCAACACAAAAACACGGAAACAAGGAAGTGAGAGAGTGAGAAAGTAATAGCAGCAAATGGACCCCTGTGACATTTTGACATGCCGCAGTAAGACAAGCACAGGTGTAAATAATCAAATTAATGGTGGATGAATTCCATTTACTTGCTTCAGTTTCAGGCTCCTGGTATTATTCATGCTGGCTCACTGTCATGGCTTACTGAGACAATTGAGGAGTACAGAGTCAGTGTTAATGTTATTATTAACACCTGCGCTTTCCTTCTGTGTCAAGTCAAAATGTCTGCTGTAAAAAAGGCCTCCAGAATAAAATACAGGCTTAAGTAGAAATGATTCATTAATTTAAGGACTTGTATCTTTACTATTGTCTTCCTCAGTTTTAACTGACGAATTTAAATGACTGCATTTTAACTGAACAGCTGAGACATAATGACGTTGTCATGTGAGGACAAAATTAAGAAGTGAGCTTTTAAGGGGACTCACACAATTATACTGTGAATACACCAAATCCCATTCCCCAACAAAATGTCGTCTGATCACATGCACTAGCTCGCGGTTTTTGTCTTCACCTTTTTATATAGTCCGTGGTCTACAACAGTACAACATAATCTGAATACCTTGTGCTGCACCAGTTCAGGCAGCGACCTCCTGACGTGTTCCTGCAGTCTGTAGAGAGCCACTGACGGCTCGTTAGCCAGTACGTACATGCTCTCCGTGAATTTGTCAGACACTGTAAAGTCAAAGAAGTACAGACAGAGAGGATACAGGAGCCGTGTTAGAAACAACGGAGGGAAACGTCCAAAACCAGTGGACACAGAAAAATGGCCGTAGGACAGCTTAATCACAATACTGGTGGCACAGCATTAGCTTAGCGGCAAAGGTGAGCTAACAGCTACTGGCTTAGCTGCTAGGTAACAATGAGGTAAGTGAAATGGTGATTTTATGTAGCTTGTATTTACCTCGTCTAACTTTCAGCTGCATCTCTTGGTCCTCCATAATGCGAGCTTGTTGTTACAATAGGAATTTGACAACAACACAGAGCAGCCGTTAGCGTGTTATGTCAGCTGGTTCCTGCTTCTTCCGTGTTTTTGTTGTCATGTGTCACACGACAATATTCCGGACAGAAATATTGATTATGAAAAAACAGTTCTTCCTTCAAAGAGTGCCAGACGCTGTGCTACGTTACACGGGGTGATTCCTCTGTTTTGTTAAAATAATTGATTCATTAAATAGTAAATCAGCTGAGCGATAAGTAATGTACCGTAGGCACACTTCGATGGCCAGTGATATCCGTCGCGTGAATTGAAATGATTTTTACTTTCAGTTTTCCCAAAAGGAAGTTAGCGCAAATTAGACTGTGAGGCTGGATGTGGTGAGTTTACAATGTAATTTGTTTTATAAACAAAATTTAGGCTACTTTTTCTTGATGGCAGCACCACAGTATTTAGTAGTTCGTGTCTTTTTTTATTGCAGTGATCATGGAGACCAGAGGTGATGATGAGGTTGCAGATGGCCAAAATATTCAGGCAACTAACGCTAACGCATGTCCCTACGAGTCCAGAGATGAGACGTCCAATGGTATTTGAGCCCTTTTTATTTTGTCTTTTAATATATGTTAGGCTTCATGTGTAACATGAAGTCATCTGATTTTTAAAATAATCAATTTAACATTTAATATCTTGCTTCCACTGACATGGCTGTGGTTCATCTGACTGGGCTGGTGTCTCCAGAGAACATGGATGTGGATGAAGAGGGTTTGTTCAAACACTCCACCACTCTGACCAACAAACAGCGTGGGAATGAGATTACAGTTCGCCCAGCAACATTAGACTGTAAGTACATGCAAAGCTGCTTTGATGGCAAAGGTTTAAGAAAGTTGTGTTAGACAAGCAATCATTGTATTTTCACTGGCTTGATCACATGAAGTTATGAAGATTTTATTTCCATTAGCTCTGTCTATCCACCAGCTGGCAGCTCAGGGCGAGGTTTCACAAGTGGCTGCACATCTGAGTAAAGGTGAGGGGTCTGGATCTCACTGCTATCAACCAAGCAGTAAAACACGATGCACATTTTCACCCGTACTAAATTGTATAAAATTCCTTCTGTCGGGCTGTGATCGGTTTTATTTTGCAGACAGTTCATTGCTCAGCAAACAGGATGAACGGGGCTTTACACCTCTAATGTGGGCAGCAGCGTTTGGAGAGAAAGCAATGGTGGATTTTCTCTTGGAAAAGGTTAGAAGTAAGCAACTGCTGCTGACCATAAAGACATGCACATGTCAGTAAGACTAAATGCACCATCTCACTAATGTTTATGGCATTTATATTTCAGGGTGCAGACCCCAAAACAATCGCAAGGGAGCGAGAGAGTGCCCTGACACTGGCCAGCTCTGGAGGTTATGTGGACATTGTCGAGTCTCTTCTCAGACATGGAGTAGACATTAACACTTACGACTGGGTACTTTTATGACTTTCTTTATGTCACACATCATCAGAAATCTGCAAAATTTACTAGTTATGGCAAGCCAACACACATTATTAAGATGGCTGACAAAGTCTATTAAACATTGAAATAGAATTACAATGTATGTGTTTGTTTTGCTCTTAATGAACACTTTTGTATTTTATTCTCAGAATGGTGGAACTCCTCTTCTTTATGCTGTACGAGGGAACCACATCAAATGTGTAGAGGCACTCTTAGGTACATTGCATGTCCATAAATTAATAAATTCTAGCAAATTCTGTTTAAATGCTTTTACTAATGGCCACGACTGTACTCTGTTTCAGCCAAAGGAGCAGACATGACCATCGAGTCTGATTCTGGGTACAGCCCAATGGCCTTAGCTGTTGCCCTTGGACACAAAAAGAGTATGTATTGTCTTATACCTGACAAATATGATTTCTTTTTATCTTACTGTAAATAATGTTTTGCTGTAGTGAATTAACAATTTCATGTATTTTGTTTCCTAGTTCAGAAAGTGTTGGAGGACCATATTCTGAAACTCTACAAGCCAACACCAACACCGACATGACACTAGTTAAAATAAATAAATGGAAGGGACAGCCTGATACAGATAATCTCAGATCTACATCCAGTTGTCATTTGTAGTCAGATGACTAAAATGCCTGTCATAATTACAAGTCATTGTAATAGATCAATACATATGCAGAGACATTTACACTGAGTAAACTGCATTTGTTAATTTATAAATTGTTTATTCCATATATGTGCATTCCCTTTTATGTAGCAGAATTATTTTTGGTGGGTTGGTGGACAGCAAGAAAAGACTGTAAACAAGTTTTAATAAAAATGTATTTTTATACTGTTTGTTCCACTTGAATGCCACTTCAACTCAAAGGCACAATATAGATATAGATTATAAGGGATTACAAGTGCTCTTATCATCACAACAAACCCATTTAAATCTGCAATTAAAACACTGATCCAGACTCCATGCCATGCCTCCTGTCCTTAGGTAATGAAGAGAGAATGCCAGAGAGATCCATGAAAATGTCCATACCAAAAAAGGCCACATTCACATCAGTTGAGGAGGTGGCAGTGCAGATGACATGCTTCCCAAGTGCCACCACACCATCCTGTGTCCTGTACTTTACTCAGGGGTCATTTCCTCTCTCACGAGAGGGTTAAAAAATGGTCATGAAGCGTTTTCCCCCAGGATGTCCAAGGAATAAACAATAATTCTCCCAAAAAAGTCGGCACTATTCTCAAATATTATTTTTACTTTGTCCACCGCAGGGGCCTCCTGTATGGGAAAGCTGTGGGTGTGGAGTTAAGAACAAGATAAGCATGGTAATAATGTAAAGCATGCCTAGGAAAATATTGTCAGTTACTTATTACGACCCATCTAGAACACCAACAGGAAGCACATAGTTCCTAGAGTGACAGGTGCAGCCTGAGCTGCTGTAATAACCCTTGTGTAGATTGGCAGACTGAGTTTTTGCTGTATTACAGCAACTGCACTGAGTATTAACATTAAGTGTTAACTATGTTTAAAAAAATCTATCATGGAATACTGAGATTTGTCTGATACAGTAGCTCTGTTCAAACTAAAGATTATTTATGGAACACATCATAGTCTGTAAATTATGAATAATGCATAATCAGGAGTTAAATGTAAATAGCAGCAGAAGAAGAAAATATACAGCAGCTTTTCAGATTTTGCCACCCCACTCAAATTAAAAGAAAAAAAAAATCTAGGTACCCAGGTAACCATTCTAATCTCTCCTCACAAATACTGCATAGTAAGAATGAAGGATATCTGAAGCGAGTTGTTGTCTTCTGGGTAAATATGGCTGATCACTGTAAAGTCTCCATCTTTAAGGCAACCTGCAGAGAGCACAAGTGGAAAATCATTTACCTTATCTTGTCATACCTGCAATAGAAAACAGTAAAAAAAAAAGAAAAAAAAAAAAGAAGAAGGCTGTTGATAGTCACATTAGGACACCATTTGTGATGAGGTTTACAGTTGGAAAATGTAATCTCTGGGTTTCACCTTCCAGTTTGCATGTTTTTGCAGAGAAGCCTCCCTGGAACTGGACCTTTAACTCTGATAGCGTGACAGACTGGGGGAACTCCAGAGACACCCACTGACATTCACCCTGCAAAAGATAAAATTTTCATAATGACTCATTGCGACACAAACAGTGTAACATCCAGGTGGCTGAGGGAAGTCTATGGGAACATTATCTTGAGTGTCTTTGTAATCAGGTTTTGCAAGTAGTGCACAGTTGATGTACTTGATTCCAATGCTATACACAAAAGAAATGGAAGAGCTTCTAACAGCTGCAAAAATAACACATACTGTAAATAGTGGTGAGAACAGAAAACCTTTTTTTTTCTTTATTAGGTTTAAATGGCACTCTAAAGGTGCAGTTTGAGTATTGTGTCATTTCCTGTTAGTATAAAACGATGACGTATCTTGATTAGTTAGTAGCTGCAAAAACAGAATACCATGACAATTAGTAACCAGTATAGACTGTACACAGAATAGTACTGTATGACACTGGGACACAGCTGTAGATTTACCTGGTCTGAATTCCAGCATGTCTCCTCATTGCAGTCAAACATGTACTTCTTTCCATACTGCTTCACGTCTCTGTTTAGCACTGAACTCACCCTGAAATGGTAGTATCAAAAAAGAATCCCAGTGGTCATTTTACAGGTCTGCTAGCTAGGAGGAGGTTAATTCAAAGCACAACATGCGACATTTACGACTGGTTTTGTAGTGAACTAATGGTAGACATAACCGTTAAGTCCGTAAGCTATTTGTTTTCATGATTTAATGACAGCTGCTGTGTACCTGCTCTGAGTTTCTCTGCAAATCACCGAGGAAGCCATGTCGATTTTTTAAAATTACACATTGCCGTCAAGCGACACTGCCACGAGGTGTGTGTTTCTTATTTACGACAGTGACGTCCATGGGCGGCTGTTCTTCTTCCCGCCACAAGATGGAAGCCATGTACCGTGAAAATGAAGGTAAAGGCTTTTCATCTTTATCTAAGGTCCCGAGGTTTCGAAATTAATAATTGAGATCTTAAAACTTCAAACCTACTTGTGTGTAATCTGTGTGCCGAGTAGTCTGGCTGGTAAGTGTGCTGCATTCTGCAGAGCTGTACGTGCCGCTCTCCATCTCCGTGTTTGCACCTTTAGGCCGCACTCATGTGTACAGGAGATTCAAAGGTCAGGGAGATAAGAATCGATTAGGAAGAGAGGACCACAGGGGCTACTGGGCCTCACTGAAAGCGAATCGATCAGCTAACCAATCGTAACATTCACATGAAACATACAGAATAAGAGGAAATACAGCCCAAGATGTTACATGTGTGTTAAGGGTAGAAATGCGCTGTACTGTGAATGTTTTTATTGATTCACAGCAGATTGGATCATCCTATAAAAGAAGCATTCACCAGCATGAGCCTTACTGCTTTTATTAGAGAGCGTATTTCTATACCTCTCTTTCATAACCAGGGAAGCAATAACACAGCAGAGCAAGTGTGTGTGTGTGTGTGTGTGTGTGTGTGTGTGTGTGTGTGTGTGTGTGTGTGTGTGTGTGTATATATGTATGTATGTGTGTATGTATGTGTGTATGTGTTTGTGTGTGTGTGTGTGAAGGAGAGAGCCTGTTTTTGGCACATGGCTCATTACAGATGGAGAACTCCTGCTGAGGTTTTGTCACAGTGCCCCCTCACTGCAGATAATCAATAGGTCTGAAATACAAAACCTGATGAAACCCAGCCTCCGTGAAAATTGGGCAGGGGGCTGGGGAGAGTGACTCTCTCTCTCACACACATACACACACACACACACACACACACACACAACCAGCAGCATCCTCACACACACTTTGACTTTGTGAGCCTTTTACAGCATCGGTTCATACTGCAGGTTTTGCACTCCCTTTTCAAGTATTTCAAATTGAGTATAAAGTGTGATTTAAAGCTGCTGTAATATTTTTATACTCTCATATCTGTGAAAGGCTGTGACATATATCTGGAGGTTTTGTAGAGATGTTAATCAGAAGTGCTGGCTCAACACTTAATTTGCCAGGTGCTCATATATTTGCCTGTCAAAACTAATTTTCTGGCCTGTAGCCATGTTAGATCTCCCACCTGGCCGACATGCCCATGTGGGCCTCACATGGGTGAATGATGAGCTGGCACTCGGGCACATAAAACGTTGCCCGTGTGGGCTGCTAATAATGCCAAGGAGGGTTACAAGTAAGGCCCACATGTGCATTCATGCTAAGAACCCACAGGGGCTCTTTTTTGTGTGCAGACCCAGGCTAGCTATTTCCCCGTTTCCAATCTTTATGCTAAAATAAACTAACCTGCAGCTGGCTCCAGATTGATGTAGTCACTTGGCCAACACAAAGGTGGTGTTGATCTTTTCATGTAACTCATCTATTGCTTATAAGCATGATTCCCCAAATTTTGACATCCTTTCACTTGGGTTTATGACTGTGTCAAGGTGGCCTAAAAAGGGGGACCTTTATTCTTACCACTACTGTTTTGACTACTTTTCTCTGATTGGTTGTGTTGTCTTGTGGAAAAGCAGATTTTGTTTACTTCCGTTCTTACATGTTATGGCCAACTTTTCCCACAATGAAACCTTTCTGGTCTTTCTTGCTCAGTGAGCTTGTTAGAGGATTATCTTCACCGCTGTCACTGATACAGCTTAAATCCTCATGTTCCCTCAGCCATCTTTGTCACTCTTTCACCACAGCAGCTGCCGTTGCTCTCAGAGTTTCTGTCACCTCTGTTTCTGTGTTATGTCCCATGAGGCAGGATTAGTGGTTAGCAAACTAACTTTGGGCTTAACCCCGGCTGGCTTTTGGGTCTCAGTGCAGTGACTCACTTTTCACGCTGTGCGTATCACCATGGTAACTTAGGTTGCACACATAACCTGCAGGCTATCAGTTCCCAGTATGTAAATGGCTGCCTCCTCTGTAGTCAGTACTCAATACTCAACAATACAGACTGGCTTTTCTATTTGTAGAGGTTTCTGTCGACTTGGATACAGATTTTAAAAGAAAAGAAAAAAAAAGAAAAGAAAATTGTGTTTTTGGATGAAGGTCTTTACCTGTCTTCTTTTACCACATGATAGAAACCTGATATTATTCAGTTGTTGAAGTTCATTCACAGCTTTCCCATTAGTGATAGATTATTCTCATAGTTTTCCCTTTAATGCAGCCTTAGGAGAACATGTGGCTGCGCGTGTGAGCATAAAATCTTTTCACAGTCATAATGTGACCATTAAATATTGTTTCAATGAAAAGTACACCCACTGGTCCTGGATGATGGGGCAGTGAGAAGCATTAGAAAAGCCTGCCTATTCAAGTTGGGACCTTGGAGCATATTATTGTGTGAGCTGTCCTCTCGTGCGTGTTCTTCCTTGGGTCAGCAGCGACAAAGTCTTCTTTTCTCTTTTACTTAGTGGAAATAAAAAGCATTTACACTGTGTGCAGTTTACCTCGAGGGATCCTGTCAAGCTTTCACAGCAGAATCAGGGTCAATCGTGACAGATGTTTTTTATTCATTATGATAGTTTGTTCTTCTTGAGAGTAGAGCATCAATGTTAAAAATCAATTTCTTCCCTTTATTTCCCTTGTTTGCATTTTCAATGCATTTGCATTTTAACCATCATTATTGAAAATTAAGATTTTCTTTTATTGTTCACGGATCCCCAAAGAGGAACAATGTGTGTCTGTTTTGGGTGATTCAATAGTAAAGGCAAACTATTGAAATTTAGAGTTCATTCAGTGAGTTACTAACTGGCCCAGCAGGAATATTTTGCCAGCATGGGGGCTAATGAACAACGGTGCTAGAGATAAACAGTCGTAGTCCCATGTCATCTGAAATGTGTGTATTGGTGGGTTGACTATATTGAGAGGTAAATAAGCAGATGCTTCAGGGGGTAAAACAGTCACTATGGTCTATTCCAGAGTTTATGAGCTGTGGGCACTTGTGCAGATTGCCCTAATGAGTCAGGTGATTAATGCTTGAGCTGCTGTCAGCCAAGGGACATGGCATTCGGGCTGGGGCAGCACTACAGCACATCGAGCTGTCTGATTTTTGGTCTACACATCAAACTGAGTGCACTGACTCTCTGACCGTGATGAACTTTTTTAGTAGTTTGGTTAAGGAGAAGTCAATCTGGAAAGCTGAAACTTTCTGGGGCGATGGGTAGGTGTGAAAATAGTTGGTCTGGTCATACTGGTTGTGCGTGTTGAGGCTGAACAAAATAGTTCTGGAACTTCCAAAGTACCTGTTCAATTTGTCATTTTGGTTAAAAATCAATGGCTGGTGACAGCTGTGGTTAATGATTTAACACAAGGTTGTGGCAGATGGCCACCCACCCTGAGCCTGGTTCTGCTCGAGGTTTCTGTCTCTTAAAAGACGTTTCTCCTTGCCACTGTGCACCTTGCTCACAGTGGGAATTGTTTGGTCTCTGTATAAAGAGTACGGTCTAGACTTGCTCCTTATGAAAAGCGCCTTCAGATAACTACTGTTGTGATTAGCTGCTATATAAATAAGAATTAACTTGACTTGAGTAAATGCCTAAAACTGACAGAAAGCATCCTTTGTGAACTGGGTAGAGTATGTTGGAAATTAGAATAACACGATGCCGCTTAGTGGTCGTAAATCATTTAGTTTAGGAAGACAACATTTGGCATTCTTTGGGGTCTAACTAATTTTAATAAAGCAGGAAATGGGCAGAAACGTGAGGCACATCTGTCGACTGCTGCAGCAATTAACACAGGATCTTGAGCTTCGATGCCGTTGTCTGGCAGAGCTCCTCGTTCATCTCCGTATTGAAATTTTCTGCTCCAGTTTGAGTGAGGTGCTCTAATTAAATCATTAAAAAGCAGAGCATTTGCACAATATGCTCGGCTGCCTTCATTACAAAGCACAATCACTTGTAATTTATTCACTCACAATGAGGGAGCGTTGGATTTGATTCGATGTCTGTGGCTGTGTTTGTGTGAACAGTGAGTGAGCTCACTTTCTTGTCTGTCTTCTGTTATGGTATCAGGCAGTGTAAAGGTGGACATGCATGCGCTCACAGCGTTAAATTACTGAGAGATTGATGGATGACTGGAGCATAATGGAACTCTAGGATTACATAGTGTTTTGTCCAAGAGGTTGGACGCACTTTGCCGGAAGCAGAATTGTAGAGAGAATATATTGCAATTTTTGATTCATGGACACAAGCAAAGCAAGGAGATGAACACAGACCACGGCTTTAAAAAATTGTTTAAAATTATTCAGAACTTGTTCAGATAGTCGGGAGCTAGGCTGGCTACAATGCATGTCTGTGTCCACTACCTTACTAAACACAGCATGTAAGAAGTGCAAAGCTTTTGTCCCCCCAGGCTTTGCAACCCCAACTGTGCAGCGCTGCAATGGGCAGGATTTATGAACTGTGGCTGCTTCTACTTCATGCTCCAGCAGTCAGGATTGCTGCTTGCTCATGATGTGGTTGGAGGCCCACAGGACATGCCTTGCTCACCCCTCTCAGCCTGCAGTCTGACTACCACAACCGCATGCCGGGCCACTGATATCTGAGCAAGGAAATGGGTCTGTAGTAATGACTTGAGCACAAGAAGGCACTCATAGTGTTAAGAAAAGCCAGAGCATATCATTTCATGGCGAGATCATGGGGATTTGTTGTGACTACCAGGAGACCACATGGTTTTCACTTGAATTCTCATGTTCAGGTTATAGTCTGGGTGTAGAACAATAGAAGAGAAATTAGTTGTATTAGAAAAGCTGTGACATTCTGGTGTTTTCCAAAGTTGGTGGATTTTGCAGTTACACACCAGTTACACAGCAATGACGTTAGACATAGAGATTTTTTTACCAGCTGTCTACACAAG